TATAACTTGTTCATGTTCAACTCCATTCTCTCTAAGTCTATAGTGTCTGATGAAAACCCTCGCCACATTTCCTAAATTCCTCATCTCATTCTCTCCTGCAGATCATTTTGCACATGTTGTCATCAGATATTAGCTCTTTCAATTTTTATGCTAACCAATGCTATAAGTGCATTAAATCCAAGGCAACTATTTGCTTAGTTCTCATCCTTGTTTTTCTCTGCTCATTACATTCCAGGCACCCTTGGTTTTCTATCTAGTTTCTGTTCCTAATATGGCACTTGGACTTGACAATAGATTTCTGCTTCACAATTTTTGTCCCTTGGCATAAAATTATCTCCAGGATTTGAACTAAACCTGTAATATCCTAATCCTGGAATGTCACAAGTCATCATGATCAAGTGGGATTCAACCCAGGGATGCAAGGATGGTTCGACATACGCAAATCAATGTGATATATCGTATCAACAGAATGAAGGACAAAAACCATATGATCATTTCAATTGATACTGAAAAAACACGTGAAAAAATTCAACAACTTTCATGATAAAAACTATAAAAAAACTGGGTACAGAGGAACTTACCTTAACATGATAAAAGCCATATATGAAAGTCTTTCCTCTAAGTTCTGGAACAAGACAAAGATTCCCACTTTCACTAATGGAATGCAACAAGGCTCAACTCTTAAACCACTTCTCTTTTCTCTCTTCTTGGTGATCTAATCTTATGGCTTTAAATATACCCTCCGTAAGTTGATAACTACCAATATTATTTCTTTAGCTCAGACATCTCCTCTGAATTCCTGACTTCCAAATCTAACTGCCTACTCAAAATCTCAATTTGGGTATTACATGCCTTCTCAAACTTAACATGTTCAAAATCAAGCCTACAAGAGGACATTTTTGGGAGTGATGGATATAGTTATTATCTTGGTTGGGATAATGGTTTCACGGGTGTACACCTATTGAAAAATTTATCAAATAGAATACTTTAAAAATGTAGAAGTTTTTGGTTTTTTTTTTTTTTGGACAGAGTCTCACTGTTTTTGCCCGGGCTACAGTGAGTGCCGTGGCGTCAGCCTAGCTCACAGCAACCTCACACCCCTGGGCTCAAGCAATCCTCTGCCTCAGCCTCCCGAGTAGCTAGGACTACAGGCATGTGCCACCATGCCCAGCTAATTTTTTCTATATATTTTTAGCTGTCCGATTAATTTCTTTCTATTTTTAGTAGACATGGGGTCTCGTTCTTGCTCAGGCTGGTTTCGAACTCCTGAGCTCAAACAATCCGCCCGCCTTGGCCTCCCAGAGAGCGAGGATTACAGGCGTGAGCCACCGCGCCCGGCCAAATGTAGAAGTTTTTATACATTGATTATATTCAACAAAGAAGCAAGTACAAGTCAAGACAGTTTCCTGACCTCAATAAAGTGATACACTATATTTGTAAATGTTATCTTCTTCAAATGATGAACTTTACGTGTGTTCTGAAATGCCTTTTCCATTATTCCCTTATTCTTGAAGATAATTACAATTAAGTAGTCTTAACTAACAAGATAAAGTTCCCAAATAGGTTGGGTTATACTGTGCTTTATTTGGGATTCTGTGAGATTAGGTCATTATTTCCTGTTATAACCCTGATAAACTCAGCTACATGTCATGCTGGGACCTCAGCAGTGGACTAGTAGTGAGGAGGGGAGGACAGTACTCATGAGAATGAGACCCAGGGAGTCTGGTTCTCATATTGAAAAGGTACCCTCTTCCACTGCCCCCCAAAATTTTCAGAACTTCATGACAAATTTGGGCTTCATTTGATCTCTGTCTGTACCCAAATATGTAGGACTAGTGAGGGGAAGCGAGAGTAGATACAGTGGGAATATTCAGAGTATCTAAGTACTATGCAGATCCAGAACCAAGCTTGGGAAGAAAGATAGGAGGAAGGAGGATCCCAATACCAGAGAGGAAGTGGCAAAAGTTAAGCAGGCTATGCCAGTAGGCTGAGATTCAAATAAACGCTCTAATCCTAACTGGGGAACTGGCGTAAAAACCACGAACAGTTAAAAGTTCTTTCACATACACTGGGCAAACAGCAAAGACTGTGAGGTGTTAATCAGTTCAGAGGGCACTTGACTGGGAAGTTAAGCACAGTGGATATTGGGTTTCTGGCAAAAGAACTAATTTTAGAAAGCATCAGATACTAGGTTTGAGTTTACTATATTTTAAAATTACCTGGAAACCGGGTGTAAGGAAAAAGGAAAATAATTCCCATTGGCTACAAGCCACTAAAGCCAGACATGTAAATTGTTTTTTTGAGACACAGTGTCACTCTATCACCCAGGTTGTCATACAGTGGCTACATGTAGTGATCATAGCTCACTGCAACCTTGAATTCCTGGGCTCAAGGGATCCTCCTGCCTCAGCCGCTATAGTACCTAGGACTGGTACATGCCACCACGAATGGCTGTTTTTTGCAGAGATGGGCTTCTCACTATGTTGACCCGACTGGTCTGGCTGGTCTTGAACTCCTGGGCTCAAGCAATCCTCCCCTCTCCACCAAAGTGCTGAGATTAAAGGCATGAGCCACTGCACCCAGCCTGCTCTTTTTGAAACCAGTCAGAACCAAGCATATCCCAGTCTATTACAGTCATGCACCTTTAGGTCTCTACTGAGTTCTCCGTTAAGTTGCAGATATATTATGAAGGGTAAATTCCTATCCAACCAACTTAAAGGTTCCTGATCTTATTACTATTGCCTGAGTTTTAATAACAAAAGGTATTACCCAGTCAGTATTGGTAAATTAGGTGGCTAGTAAAGACTAATAGCCTCTGCAGTGTTTGAAAAACATGATTTAGGTGTTTATTAAAAGGTTTGTATCAGTAACAGAAACTGATGCTAATTACATGTTGAACTTCCACATGTACTTCCACTAAAACTGTACCTTTATGGGCCAACTCTCACTTTCACGTGTGGATCCTTCAGAGTCAACAAAGACATGAATTTCTGACCATGTCTCCCTAGGAAAATGTTTTAGAGAATTTAAATGACACAACAGTCACCTTTCTAACTTCCTTGCTCAAAAATTTTAGTAGGGGCATTTAACATTTTGGCCTTTTGTCCCACATCTAGCCAACCTTTCGGCACCCAAATTCACATAATTTGTCACTCTCAGGCTCTGGACAGTATTGCTTTGCTGAGTGCTTTATGCCTAAATGTATTATCTTCCCCGCATTGGAGTTGGTCTTGACTCAAATCCACTTGTTTCCCTGGTGTTTTGTACCTCTTTATAGCTTGCCTTTGATTTCTCGTTATCTTGTGCCACTATTGACACAGAGATTAGAGTGTTTTTAACTCTGGCCTCCTCGGAAGAGCCAAGTATAGTACAGTGCATAAACAGTACTAATTTGGATAACGACTAAGAAACAGTGACTTTAAAAGATCTACAGGGAAGCAAGGGAAGTAAAAACAGAATCAACTGCAGAAAGAGGTCAGAGGGCTCCAAAGCCAAGTTGTCTATTTCACAACTTTGCCTTGTTTGGAAACGTTTGCCAGTCTTGAGAAAAGTGTAATGGAACTTTTTCCTGAAAGTTTGGTGTGGGATCTCTACAATTAGAGTCATTAATGGTACAATATTAAGGGCCTTGCCCTGTTGTAGGTACTTGAGACATGTCAATGAATGAAATGAAGCTCTTCTTGGCCTTTAAATCCATATTTAGAATTTCAAGCATAAATTCTAGCAGGGGGAGGATGACAACAGACACAACTTATAGAGCATATCATATTCTACTATAGCAGGGTAAGGGGGCATCAGAGATCAAGGGTGCAAATGCAAAGTTTTTAACCGCATTTTATGCATGCCATCATACTGAATGCTCATGTGAAGGTGCATTTTTATCTCCAAATAAAAGGTAACACAGGCTCCCTTCTATTTGGTAGCATTAAGATAGTGAATTACATATGTAACCCATTATGCTATATGACTTTTCCCTTTCTACATTCAAGTCTTAGGCATTGAAAGCCCACACCTAACTTGGGAAATCACCCATTTAGATTGGCTGGCTCCCTCAAACTCATGTCTTAACTTCAAGGAGGCCCCAAGCTTCCTAATGAACAGTCCATGCAGGGCCTATTACTCTGTTTTAATTCCCTGGAAAGTACTTGCCAAGATTCACTTTTCTGCAATACTTGGCCATGCAGTTAACTAGTTATCCCTGATACCCCAAATATTCACACTTTGCATTTTGCTGCAAGAAGCATTTGAGACACAAAATCAAATATTTTTTGGAAAGGTAACAGGATTCATTACAGTAAGTTGACGAATTTTTTTAACAATGACATTTGAATCTGGGCTTGGTAGTAATTTATTCATGCAGCTATTTATAGAAAATGACTATGTAAGAGGCCCAACCGTCTAGGGTAGATCATACACTATTACTGTTTATACTAAATCTATTCTCAATAATGTTTGGCTAGCTTTAACCTAGATTGTGTGATGTGGGACCTTCTCTCAAGACCCTGGTTAATCACAAACTCACTGTTGGGCAGTGCTCTCTTCTATTATCTTTAGTATCCCATTCCCCACTTCTCAGCTTAAGCATCTGGACTTACAAACTTACATTAAAACTAAATATTCCATGATTTGGTTAGTAACCACTATTTCAATGCCTGGCATTCCTTCCCCCAGTAATTCCTGTTGCTCTCTTTTGCTCTCACCTACCTTAATACAGAAATACTTAGTACCCTGCAAAAAGCCAAGGTATTCTATACCTTATTTTTGTGACTCGACGGCCAAACTGAGTCATCATCTCTTCATAAAAACCCTACTAAGGATTCTTCCACACGTCGGTGTAAAATTTCACTCAGTTTTAATTATAATTATACATTTTAGTTCAAATGTGTGACTAACGGCGAAATATTCATTCAGAATAATTCAATTATAAGACTGGTTAGTTAAAAGCAAAGCATTTTCCATAAAAATTTCATGATCTATTTACAAAACTAAAAAAAAAAAAAAAAAAATCAATAATCCAAAATTGTATGTTTTCCTTTCATGTTCGTAAAATGAAGAGCTTTTCCTGGACATCTTTGTTATCACCAGCTTTTCACATAAAAGACCAGCAAACTCCATGGTACTGGTCCTAGAAAAGGAAAAACATGAGATTTACAAGACTGCCAACATTACAATAGCTTATATAAAAGCATTTAAAAAAAAAAGCACTGTCCTTATAGTGGTCTATCTCAGAAGCCAGATCCGTATACTTTTTTTTCAACAGGAATTCAGGTTCGGGATAGGATCATCACAGATAAGACCAAGGACACAATACTCACTTAACTGCTAAGCAAAAAATAAAAAACAAAACTCCACTCACAGAAATTGCTGCAATGTAGGAATTTCACAACAAGGCGGCCTCTTTCAACGGGCAGACAGCGACTCTCACTGTTGGCAGAAAAAAAAAGCCAGTATCATGAACCATTGTGAACGTTAACTGTTATAAAATCCGTGCAATAAATTTATTTCATTTCGGAATATTGGTCTAATCTCAGAAGCCGAATCCGTATGTGCCTTTCTTCAGGTAATCAGTTTCGGGATAGGTTTCATCATTGATTAGACCAATCATGCCTTATATATGCACACGTAATACATTAAGCTGTATTTCAGTGATTATTTACCAGAAACCAAAGTTAAGTAAAAACGGAAGAACTATAGAATACTACAGAACTTATACAACTATTCAACTTACTTCAAAACGAAGCTGCTCGACACTGACAACTGACATCTACAGCTTCATTATTCAACATCCAGAATGTTGTCCAACAACAAAAAATTTTCATTCTGTCTACGTATGAACTAAATGTATGCTCAATTAATAAGTACAAGTGCAACACATACCTGGTTAAGACAGTCAGGTTTTAACCAAGTCGTGTTTCGTTAAATGTTCTCCCAGCTGTTTTTGGAACTTTCTCATGCATCTAATAAAAAGAAACAAATTACAAATGACGCATCACGCTCTATTCCTGTACATCAACAGTTCACCCCTTCAGTTTGAAAATTAACCTTAAAAGCTCTTATCTTAATATCTCCACATAACTGCTCCGACATACGGCTGAAAGCGCCATTGTTCTGTGGGGCACCGATGTTTAAAATTAAGCATTTTCACAGAATACACTTGGTTTTTTCAAGCACTAAACCGTTCCCCTTCGTTCGTACGAATTGCACACAACGCCGCCTGAGAACGCAACTGTCTCCTGCAGAGGCGAGAGTGCGCGTTTTGAAATCATCTGGCGACGGAAAGAAAGCATTCGCCATGTTAGTAAAGGCCCCTTGCTCTTAAATTAGCCCTCCGCTCCAAGTCCTGGGAGTGCGGTTTTCCGCGGCCGCCCGGGCTCGGCGTTGCCCGCTACCAGCGCCAAGCAACCCGCCGCACGCGGAGGACGAAAAGGCCGATCAGCAGTTTCCTCACGCCTAAGCTCGAATCCTGCCTGCATCACGACTCAAGCTCAGGACACGTGGCGGCCCGGCTGCGCATTTCCCACGTGCAAGCTTTCAACAGTTAGGACTCTTAAGCTCAAATCTCTTAAGATTGCTTCACATTAAATACTGAAACTACCAACCTCGGCCTGCGCCACCATCCTCCGCTTGGATAGAAGCCCGCAATGCCCTGCTCACCCAACATAATTCCAGCACCTTGCAAATCCGACGTAAAAGACCGAGCTGCGTCGCCAGCAGCTCCCTATATACCCTCTCTTGAGTCAGAACGAGGCCGCCCCTCCCTCTCGCATCTATTGGGCGAGGGAGCAGAGGGGGCGTGGCTGTTTCCTGACACGAACGAGCGGGAGCGCGCGCGGCGGCTCTTTTTCTTCGTGGGCCGGTTTTGGGGCGTGGCGGGCGCGCCGCAAGTCCGGCGCGCGCCCGCAGGCGCACTGCGAGGCGTTGCTGACGACTCTAGCGAGGGACCCGGACCTACGTGGCGCGGGAGTGGCGCCAGAATTCAAACTAACAGCCGCAGTTGGAAATGAGGCCATCGCGTGCCCGGAGCCAAGTCCGCCCGGGACAGATTGGGGCCGGGAGTGGACTTGAGTTCTGCAGCGCAGGGCGGCCTCAGCTTAGGACCGACTCGGGAAGCCGGGCTGGCTAGCGGGCGCTGGGCGGAGCGGGCGCCTAACGGCGGCCGCTGAAGGAACTGACGGGCACTAGTCTCAACACTCCGGGAAAGGGAAATTGGCCGCAGAAATGCTAGCGTGAAAAAACTGAAAGCGCCGCGTTTATCCTCCGCTGCACAGCGAGAGTACCGCGCCTCTCCGCAGGGCCGCCCAGCCGCGCGGCACGCGGCCCAGCCGGGCCCTCAGGGGCGCCAAGGTCCAACGGGGGCCCAGTCCACTTCTCGGTCGTTGCACCAGGCACTGCCTTTACACTAAAACCGGTCCATAGAAGGCTCCCAACACAGCAAACCTGAGAGGTGAAACACTCTACTTCGCGGAGGAGAAAACTGAGGCTTGAAGCTGCTAAGGGATTTGCCTAAGGTTACACAGCTGAATTGCTTTGCTATTTTTAATTTCTTTGTACTAAATTAGTTATACTGAACACAGGAAGAAGAGTAATTTGAGAAGTATCCCTGAATAGTTTGTCCAGATGGCAAACTTAAAAAATTCAAAAGCAATGCTTTCGTTAATTTGCATATATGGGTGAATGTATGTGTGTGCACACACGACATTTTAACATTTCAGCATTTCAAAAATCAAGTCTTGACTTCCTTATTTCATAGCACTTATTAATTAAAATTGTTTATGTGTAGGTTTATGGTCCTACTCCTCTACTAGAATGTGTTTGAGGAACACTGGTATTGTGCGTTCCTGTTTGTTTTTCTGGGTTGGAACAGTTCCTTGCTTGCAATATTGATAGGTTATCAGTAATTATTGGTTAAATGAATGAAAGAATTAATGAATGTACTCAGTGACTTTTTAGAAAATTAGAATGAAGATCAAACTCCAGATTAAAAGGTAATAGTGAAAAACAAATTTCTTTAACAGGAACCTAACTGATGAAGTATTTACTTGACTGGGCATTGTGTCGTTTTTTTATAGTTTGTAATGTACAATATTTATATTGTAATGTACAATATAAAATCTGCATATTGCTCATAGTGAAAATAACCTAAAACGGTACAAAAGGATATAAGAAGCAAAGTAAAAGTACCTTTCCACATCCTTGGGAATCTTCTCCTTAGTTTTACTCTCCAGCAATAACCACTGTTAATAGTTTTCGAAACTTTCTATGCAAATACAGGTACATATTTTTTCATATACAAATGGGATCTATCTGTTCTTATGCAACTTGCTTTTGCTTCTCATAAATACCATAGACATCTTTCCATATCAGTACATGTAGATGACCTCTTTTTTATAGCCTGCATAGTATTCAGCTGGAGGTATCATAATTTATTTAATCAATTGCCAGTTTTTCACTATTTCAAACAGTGCTGAAATGAATTATGTTCATATCATCGTAAGCTTGTGGGAGCATTTCTGCAAGATCAATTTCTAGAACTGAGTCAAAGATTGTATGTACTTAAAATTGTGACACTACTTAATTGTTCTTACCTTTTCTCTACCCCCACAAGAAGGTTGTGTGTTGGGATTATATTTTGAAGTGTGTTTTGCTAACTGAAAAACACAGGTATGACTATTATGAGTTGGCAATTATTACATGATTAAAATTGAGAACTAATATTGTCTTTGTTGTCTTTGAATCACTGCTGTGCTGAAGACCATCAAAATCACATGGTACAAAGCCATATAAAACAATGATTCCCTACCTTGACTTGTTACTATCAATTGAAACCTGATGAACTGAAAAATATCAGATTTCTGTGCCCCAACCTGGAACTACCAAAGCAGAATCTCCAAAAGTGGGATCCAAGAATCAACGTTTTAAATAAGCATCAGAGTCAATGCTGTCCATTCAGAATTATAACATGAACACAAGTGCAAGGTGCATATGTAATTTTAAATGTGCTAGTAGCCACTTAGTTATTTATTTATTTAATTTTAGAGATAGGGTTTCGCTCTGTTGCCCAGGCTGGAGTGCAGTGGTGCAAACATAGCTCACTGTAACCTCAAACTCTTGGGCTTATGTGATCCTTCCACCTCAGCCTCCTGAATAGCTAGGACTACAGGCATGCATCACTAAGTGCAGCTAATTTTTTAAATTTTTGTAGAGATGAGATCCTGCTATGTTGCCCAGGCTGGTCTCAAACTCTTGGCCCCAAGGAATCCTCCCACCTCAGCCTCCCAAAGTGCTGGGATTACAGGCGTGAGTCACTGCGCCTGGCCTACATTTTTAAAGAGTAAAAAGAATCAGATGAAATTAATTCTAATGTATTTTACTTGACCCAATATAACCAAAATATTTTCATTTTAACATATGAACAATATAAAATTTATTGAGATATTTTCCATGTTTTTATATGCAGTCTGAAATCTGGTATGTATTTTGTACTTACAGCACATCCCGATTTGGAGTGTCTACGTTTCAAGTGCTCAATTGCCACATGTGGCTAGTGGCTGCTCTATTGGACAGTATAGATGTAGGGTGATTCTTATACATATAGAAGTTTGAGAACCACTGTCTTAGGGTAGGGGAGATACTACATATGTGACATATTCCAGTCTTTGAAAAACAACCCTTCCATATTCCTTTTGACTCATAAACTAATAACAAAGACAATGCTAAAATGAAATTAGTCCAGAGCCTGATTATTGACAACACTGCCTTCCAGTGAACATAGGCAGTGACTGTGAAGCCAATACACAAGCTTTCAAGATGTTTATCTCTTTAAGGAACAGAAAGACGAACTGAGGGATGAGGCCATTGTCATTGCTCCCACACCTGAAACAGAAAATTACGACCAAATATTCGAAGTGACTTAATAAAGACCATATAAAAGGTCAATACTGCAATTAAAAGTATCCTTGAAGAATTTATTACACTGAGAATATATTCTCATATTCTGTAACAAACTTCCCGATAAGTTCATCATTTTAATCAGTTTTTTTAAGAAATATTCACTGAGCCCCTGGTGCATACAGTGTGCTTCAGAGAAAGCTAATATGAATACACAAAAGTTTTTGACCTCCTCAAGGGAATTTATAGTTTAGTAAAAAGTGCTCACTTAACTTTCCACAGTTAGAAGTTAGTGCAGTCGTTTAGATGAGATACTGTGAGGGACACCAGTATAATTTTGGCCATGGAAATGGAAGACAGGGAAGAGAACAACATATGGTGAGAACTTGTTATATCTTAGGCTCTTATGTGCATCAGATAATGTAATCTTCAAAACAATTCTGTTATATATTTTAAACTTTATATTAGAAGTGAAAAAAGTGAGGCATGGAGATCTCAGTTAACCAATGTTCTCAAATCTTTCTGACCCAAACTCATGATCATGTCACTGGGGTGTTACTGCACTGTGTAGAAGGAAGAAGTGATAGGATGTGATGATGAGCTGTGGGGGAAGAGAGGAAGTACAGGGAGTCTAGGTAGCCAAGAGGATGGCAGCTCCATTGACAGGAGTTGCTGGTTTGGTAACAGGGAAGAGAAGATAATTTATTTAGTTCTTTCTTTTTTTTTTTTTTGAGACAGAGTCTTGCTCTGTTGCCCAGGCTAGAGTGCTGTGGCATCAGCCTAGCTCACAGCAACCTCAAACTCCTGGGCTCAAGCAATCCTCCTGCCTCAGCCTTCCAAGTAGCTGGGACTACAGGCATGTGCCACCATATCTGGCTAATTTTTTCTATTTTAGTTGCCTGGCTAATTTCTTTCTATTTTTAGTAGAGACAGTGTCTCACTCTTGCTGAGGCTGGTCTTGAACTCCTGATCTCAAGTGATCTTCCTGCCTCCACCTCCCTGAGTGCTAGGATTACGGGCGTGAGCCACCATGCCCGGCTGATAATTTAGTTTTGGTTGTATTAAATTTTGGGTGGAACACTTGGTTCCATCCAGTGGACCATCAGAAATGTGGGCCTGTAGCCCAGAAGAAAAGTCAGGGCCAGAGAAGGACCATTTAACAAACACTAATGCGGCTAGGATGACTGAAGCCATATGAACAGACAAGTGTGGAAAGAAAAGGAAAAAGGGCCAGTATCAGTGGCCTAGAATTATTAAAATAGTGTGTGCAGATATCCTGCAGTAGACGACCTTAGAAAATATAGTCAGTACACATAAGGATCTGGTTATATAATGAATGCATAAGAAAAAAGTACACTATTATAGCTTTTGCTTAAATCATGGGAGAAATATGTATACCAAGTTAAGTATTGTAAGCATAATTAACTTATTCCAAAGCAGAAAAAATAGCCTTAAAAAAAAGAATTAAGGAATTCTGTCTCTTTGTATAATGTTCTCCCCCTGCCGCCCCCCACCAGTGTCTGAACTGGTCAATAAACTCTACGTCTGAAGGCAGGACAGATAACTGAAAATTTATGAATACTCCAAGAAATGGTAATGTTAAAGAGCTGAAGTAGGGAAAATATCTTGTATATGTGGAAACATTAAAGAGGCAGTTTGATGCATGAGTCAGAAGTTCAGAGAAGAGGTTAGGGCTTGAGTGTCATTGGCATGAGTAAGGGATTTAAAGCATGACATGAGTGAGATCATCAAGAAAAGAGTATAAATAGAGAACA